TCACGGCAGTCATGGCCCCAGTACTGGCCTGGGCAGGCTGTGAAGTTAGGAATGGGAGATAAATGGGTTCAAGGCCAGGCACAGGTCCTTGCCCTGTCCCTTCCTCAAGGAAAAGGACAGGAGCCTGCTCTTCAAGAGCCAAGGACAGACCTTGGGAGCATCTGGTAGTATTTCCTCCTGGGATTCAGTTCATTTCCGGCCCCAGATTCAGATGACAAAACCCTTTGCCTTGGCCTAACCTCCATTTTACATTTTAGAACACAGATCTTGACTTTGACAGTGATATGTTTGTTCAGTTTCACAAGTGGGTGGGATTTCATTCATGTCCCCTCCCTTTCGCTGCTGAGGTGTCCCCTGACCCTTGACCATCACTGACACCCGGATTTAGGGTAGAAGATGCCCACCAGGATGGCAGGAAAGGACCCTTCCAACCCAGGGATTCTTGGTAACCTTCTTCCCTCACACCCCAAGACAGGGTTTCTCTGTGTAGTTTAGGAGTCAGTCCTGGAACTTGCTCTATAGACCAGGCTGGTCTCGAACTCAGAGTGAGAACTCTGCCTCCTGAGTGCTGGATTAAAGGCATCCATCACTGCCCAGCTTGGTACCCCTTCTTGAGAGCCTAGTTCTAGGTTCCTTCTACTTAATTACAAGGAAGTTAGTAGGCATCACAGACTCCCGACCTCCTGCCCACTTCTTTATTCATCCTGACTGAGAGGTTTAAAAGTGAAGGGAGCAGATAAACGGGGTTTTATGCCTGTGGGTAAAATCCAGACCACCCAGGGCTCTTCTTAGGTCATTGCCCATTTATGAACCCGTTTCCCAGAAGGGTTAAATTTTCAACTGCTTGCTTTGCCTACTTCCTGCCCCTTACCCAGTTCTGCCCAACAACTTCACCCAGCCACTGAAACTCACGGGAGCTGCACTGGGCTCCGAAGAATCCAGGTTTACATCGACAGAGGCCTGGCTTCACGCACACCTCATCTTTCCTGCAGGCATCAGGGCCTTCACAGACGGCTGAAAAACACCCCACCCAGGCTGGAAAGGACTGGGACACACGTAAGGGGCATCCTGCCCCTCTCACCCACTCCTGGAGCCCTGCTCCCTTCAAAGTCATCCCTTTAATGCTGGAGAGTGGTATGTGCCATAGGGAGGACACTGGTTCCAGGGCTCAGGAGGGGAGGTAGTGTAGGAAAGGTCACTGGGTCATAACCTTCCTTTCCTTCGCTAGGGGGCTGTCCTGCTACTCACGGATGCTGCATTCTTGATCTTTCTGCCTCCAGCCCGGGCAGCACTGGAGCTCAGAGGGGCTGTAGGGCAAAAAGGGGACAGCAGGTTCCCATAGCATGGGACACTAGCGCTGGCTGAGGTGTGGAAAATTAGAAAATTTAGCCATGATGTCACAGTCCGTAGTCATAGTACCCATGTTCCCAAGCCCTCTTTTCCCCTTCCCTGCCCTTCCCACCATCTGCCCTGGCTATCTATTACCTGCCAGGCTGCCCCCCTCAGAGACCCTTCTTTCAGGCCCATAACCTCCTACCCTCCTCTTTATTTTCCAAAAGGACCCAAGCCTAGTTAGCCACCATCTCTATCAGCCAGGCTCCCACAAGACCCACCTGCTGCCTCTACAGACGTGCTGGCCAGTTGGGTCCAGTGTGGATCCCTGGGACCCCCGAGTCCAGAGCAGCAGCAGGGGGACCATCAACCCAGGCCCCATGGCGGCCAGTGGAGTAGGAGGTCCCGGTTTGATCTGATCCCCACAGCTCCCAACCCCCTCCTGTTTCCTCTCAAGGCTTTTCCTGAGGAAGCCAGCACAGAGGGCGGGCTGCTAAGAGGCACCTCCCTGAGAGGGCAGGGAGCAGAACATTCAGAAATGAAAGGGAAATCAGACGACGATGAAGCCTGAAGCAGCTTAGCCTAGAGGAGGCCAAAAGACTGAAGTCACAGGTTCTCTAACTATTGGAAACAGGCAAAGCGGTGGGGTGATGGTGGGAGCCATACTCCCAAAATAAAGAGACATTCTTCATCCTCAAAGAGGAGCCAAGAAGACCCTATAATGAAACATCACCATGCCTCTGTTCCTGGCTGGGCTGGGAGACAACACGGACCACTAACCGACACAGAGAGAGCATTTTTAGGGGTATTATGTGTTGTTCCTTTTGGAAACTACAGCTCCCAGATTCCTCCTGGATTACGGACACCTGCGCGCAAGGGCGCGCACAGGTGCAGGACATTTCTCCAAGATACCCTTGCGCTTCTCGTTAAAAAGCGAGCTTCCACAAGGTCTCGCTCTCTCTTGCCCTTTACCCTTGTGTGTCTTGCACACCTGTCCCTTATCGTGCCCCCCCCATTAAAGCGCACCCACATGGGAGCCGCGTGTCTGTGTCTCCTCCTTTCGTGCGTGTTTTGTCTGTCCTGTGTTTGTCTCCACACACACACCCGCTTTAAAAGAATAATATTATGGATCAACGTTTTATTGCACTGGTTGCACAAGCCTCAGGGAAGCAGGCAGCCCTCTGTCTCACAATGGGGAAAGCAGAACTCAGAGACACCTTTACCTCTGGCTCTGAAGTGTGGGACAGAGATGTCAAGAAAGGGAGACAGGCTGAAATACCATCATGCCTAGTGCAAGCTAGGTACAGAGGGAAGCCTCGCCCTTGTTTGAGGTCACACATCCATACACAACCGGAACCCAAAGTTAGTCCTCTTGTGTAGCTGAAGCCCTTGGACCACAACGGTCACTGAAAGCAGAGAAGGACTAGTCAGGAGTTGGGGGCTGGAAGGCTGCCCACAGGTTCCAGGTGGCATTGCTGCGGGGCCTCTTCTCCTTCTTGTCTACCGGGAGCTCTGCTGCTGGTCTCAGCTTCAGGGGTCTCAGTTTCACCCCGATACCATAAGCTAAAGCTGAAAGGAAAACCAAGAGCGGTACATTGAGCCAGGAAGACAAGAGATGCCAGTGAGGCGGGCTGAGGGTAGAGAGAGGCCTTGGAGGAGAGGGGGTGGTACAAAGTCACAGGGATAGAAGGCACTCAGGGCAAAGAAGCAGGAGGGAGAACAGGGCCACAGGGAGAAGAACCAGACAGGCCCCTCCTTCACCCTCCTCCTGCCCTCCCCTCCTCCAACATACAAATTCTGTATTCTGGATCCAGGAACCAGGGGAGCATCTTCCTTGTCATTGGAGAGCAGGAGCCACGAGTCATCCTCATCATCACTAAGATAAAGAGATGTGGGGTTTAAGGGATACTGTGAGTCAGGGAGGATGGAGTGACTGGAGAGGCCTCAGGGCAGAAGAGGGACACTAGACACAGGACATCTTGAGGGTTTCACTTTATAGCCCGGCAAACAATAGCCCTTCACACGGCTGTAGCCACAGCTTCCTTCAGTAAAGAGATCCAGCCAAGAAGGAAACAGAAATGAATGCGGAGAAGTGGCATTAGCAATTTCTTCAGCAGGATGGACAGCAGCCAGGACAAAGGGGAGCAGCGGGTTCCGGAGGGAAGGAGGGCAGCTGGACAGCAGGTATGGTGAGGTGTAGGGGGCATAGGGAGGCTGGCTCCCTGGGCACGGAAGTACAACTACAGCAGGCAGAAGGGTTCGTTGGGCAGGTATGGAAGCAGGTCTTACCTACTCTCTGCTTCCTCTGGTGTCCCTAACATCTTGGCCTTGATCTTCATCCGCTGTTTCTTGACTGCCACCTTCATGGCTTCAAGTAGAAGCCCAGGGACCCGGTGATCTGAGAGCAGCTCTCTAAGAATGGGTGGGAGGGGGAAGAAAGTGGGAATGCCAACAGTAGGTTTCAATCCAGTACCTGAGCTCTGCTGTTTCCCTTGGAAACACCTGAAGGCTCTCAACACCTGTGAGCTTAGGCGGCCCCTTCTCAGAATACTTCCAGCCTACTGCTTCGGCTTAGTGACCCTTGGTGCTGCCCCACTTGAATGAGATTCCAGGAGGGCAGGGACGATGGAATTTATTTCTTCCCAGTGCCTGAGCAGGACACTGGCAAATGTCACTCCTGACCCTATACATGATCGATCCAAAGGATGAGGTGGGGTGACCTATAGGCCAGGTACAGGCATCCTGGCTTCCGGCCCCTCACCGCTGGAAGTAGGCCAGTTCCTCCTTGAGCAAGAATACGTTGGCTTTGAGCTCATTCCGCTCCTGAAGGATCTGCTCAAGCTCCTCCCGGGTGAAGCCACACTGAACGGGCTCTGGAGGGTGCCCTGGCTGCTGCGGAGCATCCACCTGTGCAAGGTCAGGCATGGTCAGAAGGTAGTCACTCTTGCCCCCCCTCCCCCAAGCCCCAGTGCTCACAGTAATGTTAGGAGAAGTGTCTGGTAAGACAATTTAAGGGACAAGATGGCTGCTACAGTAGGTGGAGGACTACCGCTGCAACCGAAACGGTAGTTTTCGGACTTCCGACAGACCTTTTCTATACCCAGGCCGGGCCCACCAAGAGCTGAATGCTGTGAGTTCTGGGATGTCCTGACTCCTCTCCGGCTCTCACCCGGTCATCTAGGGTTTCTACTTCGGGCTTCAGTCTCTGTTCTTCAGCCAGCTGACGGGAGCCATCCAGAGCTATTTGGCGCTCCCTCTCCCGGTCCTGCGCCGCCCTGAGTTGGGTCTGCACTGCGGCCAGCTTGTACCGCAGCTCCGAGTTGATCAGCAGGAGGCGCTGCAGCTGCTCCTGCAACTGGGGGTGGAGCGAGAGAGCTAGTGGGCGGGGCTCCGAAGCCCGCCACAGCCCCGCCCCACTCGGCTCGCCCGTCGGGCTCCGCCCTCACCGCCTCAGTCTCTTGGCTTCGGCGCATTAGATCTCGGCTGTGTGCCCGAAGCTCGTCCCGCTGTCGGTCCGTCACTTCCTTGAGCTGTCGCAGCAGCTCGCGCTCCTCTGAAGACGGGGTGTTCTTAGCACCATTCTCCGGGGTGCTCAAGCCCCTAGTTCCCCTAGCTCACTGTGCTCGGGCGGAACCCGCACTCACCCTGCGGCCCTGAGCCTAGCTCCTGGCGGAGGCGCCGGTTCTCCTCGCTCAGCCGCCGCAGCTCCAGTTCGGCCTGCTGCGCGGACACCTGCAGCTGGGGGAGCCAGGAAACTCGGGGTTAGGGCCTGCCGGCTGCCCAGGGTAAGAGGAGGAGCCGGTGACTCACCGAATCCGGCGCCGGCCCCACGGCAGCCTTTTCCAAGAGCTCCAGCGCCCGCACCACTAGTGGCACGAGCCCAGCCGCCGCGTCGGGCCCGAAACGGCGTGCCAGCTCCTGCAGCTCAGTGCCCAGGGCCCCTGCTAGATGGTACACGAGCTCCGCGGCTGACCCCGCGCCCACAGCACACCCCTGGTTGGGTGATCCGGACGCTGCCCTTCTGGGCTCCATTTTTTCTCTCCTAAGGCCAAAAGCCGCCCCCACCCTCAACTGGGACAGGAACAAGCCAAACAGTTCCGGCCCAGGAAGTTTAGGGCCATAAGGGGCGGAGAAGAAGCGACAGGGGAGGAGCAAAAGGGAGAAAGGCCCTGGGGTGGGAGAGTGCCCTGCGCCCTTTGAGCCTAGTTCTGGTCCACCTACAAGGTCACTGATACAGGACTGCCAATTTCCAAGCAGGTCTCTAAGAGCTGAGGACCAGGGCTCTAAGTGGTCACTTTAGGAAAGCCCTCCCCCATAGCGCCTGATACAGGCTCCGCCCCTGGTCTTAGCTGCCAAGCTCTCCAGAGAGGTGAAGGATTGAAGGTCAGCAAACAGCCTCTACTGGATTGCAGGCACAGCCAGCGAAGTGCTTGCTGCTCTATCAGGAACGACAAGGTTTACAAAAGAACAAGGCTGGACCCTACAGCTACACGACCATAGAGTCCTAAAGCAATGTTAAAATAGGTGGATTTCCACGTACAGAGAAACCAGCAAACACGGCCAAAGTAGAGTGTGAAGGCCAGACCCAACTCAGCTGAGTCTAGGGTATATTCAAAGCCCTGAAGGGGAGGCCCAGTACCTTGCTGCGAATTGCCCAAGCCAATCCCCAGAGTTATCAATACCCAAAATTTGAACTCTTAAAAGCAAGAAAACAAAAGCAATCCTATTTATACAAAATTTATTACATTTTGTTCAGAATTACAGTCTATCAACAACACAAGCACAAAACACAAAGGGGCCAGGCTGCTGAATGTCAGCAGCTTGTCTGTCGGGAGGGTCAGAGGTTCCAGCCTTTGGGGAATCTGAAGCAGAAGGAAGCAAGAAGTAACTAGGCATAGAGATCCTCTCTGTCTGCAGAATAGACCTCACCCTCCTGCAGGAGGGCAAAGTTGAGGAAGTGGGAGGGCCTATGGACCTCATGGTAGAATTCCTTGGGGTTTGCCAGCTGCAGCTCATATTTCATGTTGGGATCATGCCGAACACCTTAGAGAAGGGGAAACATCAGATGTTAACAAGGTCTCCCTGCCTCACCCGACCCTTCGGCAGCCAGACCCCAAGAGACAAGAGTGCTGGCTTCTGTCTCCACCACGACCACATACCCATAAAGTTGTAGTTCCAGGAGGACTGGGCAGGAACCATAAAGAAGCCGAGGAATCGGTCTGACAGGAGCATCTGCACCCTCTCGTAGTGAGAGGGCAGGTAGCCTTTGGGATTGTTGCCTTTGTCGGTGTTCTGCCGGCCCCACTCATAGCCACTGGGGGTCAGCTTGTAGGCTGTCAGTGTGCAGGAGCCTGGGGTGAAGCTGTGGGGGAAAGAAAAAGACAGGTTGAGCTCAGGCCACTAATTCAGGTCCTGACCTCAATACCTGCCCTATAATATAATATCTCCACTCAAGGAGGCCCACACCCACCTACAGGTGATGATAATTGTCTTCTCGCCATCCCAGGACGGGTTGTCAGCCATGATCTTGGCATGAGTGGTGACATCTTGGGGTGATAACTGGGGAGACTCATTGGGCTGAGTGTGGATCCAACCTAAGGGTTCCATCTCCTGCAGGCAAAGAGCAATAAGGAGCGGTTCAACCTATCTGCAGACAAATGTCACCCACCAGGGTAACACTGCAGCAAGTTCAATTCCCAGGCTCCGCCACCATCACAAACCTTGAGGTACTCGTGCTGGGGCAGCTGGCTGGGCAGGTGCACAGTCTGGTGAGTGCCCCACTGCGGCACCATCACAATACAGCGGATCTCCTTCACCTGAGGGTTATCTGGAGGACTCACCCCATATAGGTATCCTGCAATCTAGAGACAAGGGGATCAGACTATTCTCAGTGCAATTCAGAGTGCAAGAATTTCTTCCCATTCCCAAGAAAATGGTGGGTTTTTCAAAATACAGTCAAAAACCATTGGGACAGAATCATCTGGTTACTTGGTCAAAATGTTACACATAAACCCCATCCCAAACACCCCCATGATCTGGGAGAATCAAATTTGGGTTATTAGGTTTGGTGGCCAAGTATCTCTACCTACTAAACCCAGGTCTTAAAAATTATCATTGGAGTTCGAGAGACGGCTTAGTGGTCAAGAGTATTGGTTGCTCTTCCAGTGGACCTGAGACAGATTACTGGCATCCGCACAGTGGCTCACAACTGTCTGTAACTCCAGTTCCAGGGCACCTGGCACTCTCTGCTGCCCTCCACAGGTACTACATGCATATGACGCAGAAAAAACACCCACATATATACATATGTGTGTATGTATATATGTATATAAGGGCTGGAGAGATGGCTTAGTAGTTAAGATCACTGACTGCCCTTCCAGAGGACCCAGATTCAATTCCCAGAACCCACATTGCAGCTCATAACTGTGACTCCAGTTCCAGGGGACCCAACACCCTCACACAGGTAGGTATACATGAAGGCAAAAATGCATATAAAACTAATTTAAAAACATTTTTAACTTTTTGTAATTCTGTACATGTATATAAGGACTCGTGTGGCACTGAGCGAGTGTGAAAGTCAGAGGACAAGTCTGTGCAATAGGTTCTCTCCTTCCACTTTTACAGGGTTCTGCGGAATCAAACTCGGGGTGTCAGGTTTATGGGAAGTGCTTTCCTTCTGAGCCAGCTCATCAGCTTCAGGTTGGCTTTTTTTCTTCTCAAGAAACTGAACCCAGGGCCTTAGAGCATGCCAGGCAAGTGTTTTGTAACTGAGTTTTCTCTATAGTATTTTTCTTCCCTTTAAATTTGTCTGTCTCTGAGACAGGGGCTCACTAGGTAGCTCTGGCTATCCTGGAACTCACTATGTAGACCAAGTTGGCCTCAAACTCACATGCGACAGTGTGTATGTGAGAATCAGAGGCTAACTCTGAGGAGCTGGTTCTCCCCCTCCACAGTGGGATTTGGGGACTTAACTCAGGTTTTCAGCTTTGTGCAGCAAACTTTTATCTTCTGAGTCATCTGTGGCCCAAGGACAATTTCTGGATTTTTATTTTAAACCTTAACCTTTTACTTATTCAGTGTATGCATATGCATGAGTATAATATGTGTCACACTGGAAATGTGGAGGCCACAGGGCAATTTACAGAAGTCAGCGCTCTCCTACTGTATAGATTCTGGAGCTCAAACTGGCCAACAGACTTGGCAGCAAGCACCTTTACCTACGGAATAATTTTGCCAGCCTGACATTGTCACACAAGTCTCGAATGGGTTTTCATTTATTTATTTGAGAAAGTTTCATTTGGTAGCAGCTGGGCCACAGAAGCTGGCTCAGAGGCCTGTGCTACCATATCAAACTAAGACAGCCGTCTGGACTGGTAGTGAAATCTAGCCTTTAACACTCACAGCAACCTGCTTGCCTAGGCCGTCCAAGTGCTAGGATTCAGGAGTGTACCACTCTGCCCAGCTGTGTTTGGTGCTGTGAAAGGTTTTCTCAACACTAAGATTATCAGTATTTTCTAACAGCTTAGTATTTTACATCCATAGTTTTACTCTATTTAATTTTACTTTTGTTGAGTGGTGTGAAAAAAGGCCCTGCTCTTTTCTATTTCAATATCATAAAGTACGCAGCAGTAAGATTTGACTATGTACATATTTGAATCTATTTGTTATTCTCTGCCAATAAATTCCACTCCAATATTTTCTCTTAATTGTCATATTGGTAAAATATTTTGACATCCTCTTGTTTGTGATGTCTCTTTTTCTCATTCTTTTCTTCTTCTTTTTTTTGTTTGTTTTTGAGACAGAGTTTCTCTGTGAAACAGTCCTGGCTGTCCTGTAACTTGCTCTGTAGACCAAGCTGGCCTTGAACACACAGAGATCCACCGTCCTTTCCAAGTTACTCATTCATCCATTGAATCTTGAAACTAGCCCCTCAAAGTTCGTGGAATTATCAAGTGAAATTTAGGCACAGACTCTGTGAGTTCGAGGCCAGCCTGGTCTACAAGAGTTAGTCCAAGGACAGCAAGGACTATAGGACTGTTACACAAAGAAACTCTGTCTCGAAAAACCAAAGGGAAAAAAAAAAAAAATGAAATTTAGATACAGACTAAGTGGGCTCACAATATGGTCCAGTTGTGTGTATACTCACTTGGGCACGGAGATCAGATATGCAGATGAACTTCTTAAGCACATTCTTGGGAAGAATGTAAGTATACCCAGTCTCCTTGATGTCATCAGATGAAACATAAATGTGATTGGTCCGTAGATGCAGGTTGGCAGCAGAGATGGCCCTAAAGAACAGAAAGGAGCGCCAGCGTTTCAGCCCAAGCACACCCAGCGCCATCAAGGGGCCTGTCCACCTGACAGTCTTGCCCTCCACAGTACCTGACCCTCCATTCAGTCTTTGATGAGAAGGTCTGGGTTTCATAGTTGCTAGTGGTGGAGGTGATAATCTCATCGCCATGTTTGTTGACAGTTCGAGTCTGCGTGGCAGTGAGCTGTGACTGTTCCTTGGTCTGCTTCTCAATCTCAGCTATCTGCTGGCGCTGCTGTGATGGAGCGGAGATCTCCATTCCTAGGATAATGTCTCGGATTTCTGATTGTGTCAGGGACGCCACGTTCACGCTGTGGGGACAATGTCAGTTAGACGGGATCCCCCCCCCCCCAGTCACTTTTGTCTTGATGGCAAAGTAGAACTGGGTAGACAGGACATACTTTGTCAAGATAATCTCAACAGTTCTGTAATTTTTTTTTTTTTTTTTTTTTTGGTTTTTTGAGACAGGGTTTCTCTGTAGCTTTGGTGCTGGCCTTGAACTCACAGAGATCCACCTGCCTCTGCCTCCCAAGTGCTGGGATTAAAGGTGTGCGCCACCACTGCCCGGCCAGTTCTTTAATTTTTAATTTTAAATTTATTTACTCTGGGATATAGCACAGTGCAAGTACAGAGGTCAAAGGACAACTTATGGGAGGTTTCTCCCCCTTGTGGCTTCTAGGGACTGAACTAAGGTCCTTTAATTGACACTTCTAAGAAAGGCATGCATGGGGATGCAGTGACAATGTGAAGAACCGCTGCACCCCAAGCAGTGACACAATAATGCACATGTACTTTGAGTTAGTCAGCATCTGCAACTCTTACTTTTCTTCCACAGAAACTGCCACAACACAGGACAACTCTCAAAATGGAAATCCCAAATTGGGTGGAGTGAGACACACCAATAATCCAGCACTTGGAAGGTTAAAGCAAGAGTAATGTTGGGAGTTCGAGGAGAACATGGGATCCACAATGAAACCCTGACATAACAGAAACCAAGCGAGTAAGGAGTGCATCTATTCAAAATGGCGTCAGTAACTTCCACGGAGAACAAGTGGTCAACAGTGAGACTGAGTATTGACTACATTTCTTCCTGAGCACCTCTGAGACGCTGTTTTTCTTTTGAGATAAGACCTCATGTAGCCCAGATTAACCTCTTCTAACTCATGTACTTGAAGATAACATTGAGTTTCTGATACCCTTGCCTCTACCTACCAAATGCTGGGATTACAGGCATGCATTACCAAACACAGCTAAAAAAAAATCTGAGAAACTTCTAAGCTTAAAAGTTCCAAACCCCAGAATCTATGCCCCGAGCAGCCTCCCTTGTGCCAGCCACACTGTGGCACCTGGCCCCTCCCCACTCACTTGTTCTTCTTGCCATAGTCCGCCAAGATCAGGTCCTTGAGCTGCACCTCCACCTTGATCCACTCCTCGTCGGTCAGCGTGGGCCAGATGTGGTGTGGTTCTGTGATAGTGGTTTTGTCTGGCTTCAGGATCACCTTTGCCCGATCGTTGTTCACGTGCAGAGCACGCAGAATCAGGATGAGACGAGAGAAAGCCTAGAAGGAGATGTGGAAGAAGATGGAGACAGCAGCATTGTGGGGGTTCTCCTCCTCACCCTAGCCTCACAGCAAAGCAAGCATCATCTCCAAATTCTTCAGGTGCCAAGCCCTCACAAGTCAAAAGAGATATGTGTAGCTCAAGAACTTGACTCCTGGAACCAATTCCACCCCAGAGAGACTCTCTTCCTAAGGTGCCAAATTACCGTGTAAGATGAGATAGTTTTGAGCCAGTCATCGTAGAGGTTGAAGAGAACCATCTGGGGTTCTGTGGCTTTAAGGATGAGATCCCCAAACTTCTCCACCTTGAGACAAGCCTGGAAGGGGAGCTGGAGCTCCGAACCTTTGATCACAATGTTGGGGAAGTCCAGCAAGTGTACCTAAGGCAAAGTCCAAGGTCAGAGCGAAAGCCCAGAGGGCTCGGGCCTAATTTCTTCTACTGTGTCCACCTCTCTCTCACCTCCAATGGATCCAGCATGCCCTTCCTGGTGACAATGATCTGTTTAGGCTGTTCCTCCACAGGCAGAGATCGGATCAGGGCAGCCACTTCCTCAGCTGTCTTCCACTTGGCCAACTAACAACCAAGAAAAACAAAACAAACTGAGTCTACCTTCCTCAATTAACTAGAAAAAAATCCTAATCTTGAAATAAACTGTTTCAATAGTGAACATGAAAACGGTTGCCGAACTTATTAATTAGAAAAAGGTACCTACATGTTTAATAATGAATTAAAGTTCAGAAACAGCAAAATAAGACAGGGGCCAGAGCAATGGTCCATAGCTCAAGAGCACTGCTCTCATGGAGGACCCGAGCTTGGTTCTCAGCACCCACACCAGGCAGTTTATAACTGCCTGTAGCTCTAGTTCCAGATTTGATTCTCCCCAACATGCTCATACACTCAAACATAAAATTAAAACAAAATAATATTTTTAAGAGACATGATCTCACTATGTGGGCCTGACTGGGTTAGAACTTAATATGTAGATCAGGCTGACTTTAAACTCACAAAGATATACTTACCTCTGCTTTTCAAATGCTAGGACTAAAAGCTTGTACCACCATGCCCAGGCTAATAAAATCATTTTCAAAAAATATTTAAATAAAGCCAGGCAGCAATGGCACACACCTTTAATCCCAGCACTTGGGAGGCAAAGGCAGGTAGATCTCTGTGAGTTCAAGGCCAGCCTGGTCTACAGAGTGAGTCTCAAGACATCCAGGACTATTTCACAGAGAAACCCTGTCTCGAAAAACAAAACAAAGACAAACAAACAAAAAGACAGAAAAGAGAAACTGTGGCTGGCTAGGTACAGCTCAGCCAGGCATCAAATGTCCAGGAAGCCAAAGGGTATGGGGTATGCATTCCCTTTATAAAGATGGTATTTGGTTGCTCTCTCAGAGAATAGAGGGAGAAATAAGCTTTGGAAACAGAAAGCCCAGTATGGAGGTAATGAAGGCATTCACATGCTTGGACCTCCTCCAAGGGAATATTTCCCTGGGGGTGGGGAACTGAGTCACTGAGTCAAGTGCTTGCCAGGCAAGTATGAGGCCAGAGTCTGGATTGCCAGCACCCACTTCAGTGTCAGGCATGAGCATAGGGCCACGCATAACCCTGATGCTCAAAAAGCCAAGTAAGTGGGGGGGGCTGGAGAGATGGCTCAGTGGTTAAGAGCATTGCCTGCTCTTCCAAAGGTCCTGAGTTCAATTCCCAGCAACCACATGGTGGCTCACAACCATCTGTAATGAGGTCTAGTGCCCTCTTCTGGCCTACAGGCATACACACAGACAGAACATTGTATACATAATAAAGAAAAAAAAAAGCCAAGTAAGTGGACAAGCTCTGCACTCAGCACAAGTAGATTCACACAAAATAGAATTTCCGCCTCTTTGACTGTATGGAGCCTGCCTAGGCTCAAACCTACGGCAATCCTCTTCCCTCTGCCCCCCCCCCCCCAGTACTGAGATAGAGGCCACCACACCCAGCAATGCCATCTTTCAATAGAGTAAAGGGTATTTTGTTTTTAATCACATCTCCCCCTTACCCCAAACAAGAATGAGAGAGAGCAACGTTCCATGTCTCACTGTCATGTCAGCCGCTTACCTGACCCAAACGCTTCTGTCCAGCCCACACAGATGTGTGGATTATCTTGAGGAAAAGCTGCCCCGTGCGTGGGTTAAAGATGAAGATGGCCCCATTGATGGGTTTGGTTGTCAAGTTCCCCTCAAAGGTCTAAAGAACAATTATATTAGTTAACATGGACTAGCTATAACCACCCTGCCTTCATCCACTTCATACACTCTCCAGGCATCTGAGGCCTGCATGCCCACACTCACCTTGTGGATAGTCACTCTATAGACATTGGTGTCATCCACAAACCAGATAATCTGGTTAGAGAAGAGTTCACCATAGTTCTGGGAGGACAGATAAGGCTCAGTGGGCTCTGATGAATACAGCTGCAGTCCTTTGCGTATCCGCTCACGTAACACATACAAGGCCGGGTTTGCCTTCATGATCTTGGCCATGGCCTGCTGTATCAGAGGCTTGCTGCCTGGAAACCAGTTTCCATAGGCACTGTAAGGACGAAAGGGTCCCAAGAACTTAAGCACAGGCAGAAAGCCCCAAGAAAAAGGTGAGAGTACAGCAAAGGGACAAAGCCAGTTGCCCAGGCTTATGTGATACCCTGCTAAGACATACACATACGACGAGTCAGTCAGTGACTGGAAGATAAAACCTCGTCTTAGCCAACCAAACTAAAACTGGTATAAAAGGGCTAATGTGTAGGGTGTAGTGGCACACACTTTTAGTACCAGCACTCGGGAGGCTGAGGCAGACAGATCTCTGTGATTGTGAGGCCAAGCTGGTCTACATAGCAGGTTCCAGGCCAGCCGAGGCTATATAGTGAGACTCTGCTTCAAAAAAATGAAACCAAACATAGAAAGTACAGGGCTAATGGAAAACCCATGCTTTCGAGCCCTAACTCACCTGTGTAGATTGTAGGCCAGGTCAATGGCAATGAG